ACACCCAACTTCCTAAATGCTCTTCTGGCTGCAAACTCAGTGATAACCAGGAGACATAAACTTCCCCTAACAGACAAGTCTTTACAACGGGCTTGACACAGAACAGTGCTGGCTCCTTGCTTTTTATATCCTGTAGTCTACACCTTTTCAGAAGTCTTTGGAATGCAATGACAATTTGAGTTATACAAACTATCTGCTGGTAAAAAAAAGAAACACATGATATGAAACATTAAAATCATTCATTAAACAGGCAGTCAAGAAAATGAAAACAATTCTTTCATCACACTTAACCAAAGGGTTTAACAAGTTTTACTCCTTGATTTTTTTTTTTTTTTAACTTTTTGCTATAGGGCACATGAGCTCACTAGAGGGACAGAAGTAATGTGAGAAATCATTACTCACGAGGGGATGGCTATACTGCGACAATCCCTTCTTCATTCTTATCTAGGGATCTTGCCTCTGGGTCTGGAATTCAAACTGTGTAGCTGGCCAATAGGATCCAGTGGTTTATCCTCCACGCCACCTGCTGGCCCAACCACCACAACCACCACTTAGTTCTTTATTTTTGTTGTTTTTTTTTTTTTGGAGAGGTTTTTGCTACAGGGCGTGTGCGCTTGCAAGACAGACAGAGACAGACGGACAGACAGAAGTGAGAAATCACCCCCCAGGGGGGATGGTCACGCCACAATCCCTTCTCCACTCTCCTCTCGGGATCTTGGACACGCACGCACACGCGCCCAGCATGAGTTTAAGCCACCGGGTCCAGGACTCAAACCACGGTCGACTACGTGGGAGTCCAGCGACATACCCATTACGCTAACCACTGGTCCCGTCCACTTAGTTCTTAATATGCCTTACAGGAGATATGATTCAGGCACTTTCCTGGGAATAAAACAAAGTACCCAATAGAACAAAGTCCAATAGATGGAATACTTTAAAGACAAGTAGCCGAGTCTATCCTCAAAGTGAGAAAGCAACAAGGGACAAAAGTGATCAGTGTTCTATGGCTTAGTTTCCATTAGCTGTTTGGATTGATGTTGCTGTCATTTGAATGTTACAAAGCAGAAAAATCCTCTCTGGGGCCAGCAGGTGGTGTGTGGTTAAGAGCACTGGACTCCCACATGGCTAACCATGGTTTGAGTCCTGGACCTGGCGGCTTGCTTTCTTACTTTCTCTCTCTCTCTTCTCCTCTTACACACACACTTTGTCCCTTTCTGGTCAAATTAAAATAAATAAAGTTAAAAAAAAAAAAAAACCCTCCCTCCAGATGTTTATATACATGTGAGTTTGCAAAGGTAATTTGGATTTTTTATTTTCTGAGTTCTCTTTTTTTCTTTTTGTTAGGGGGCATGTACATTTACCAAGGAGAATCAGAGAGAGGGAAAAGAGAAAGCACCTCTCCCCTACAGGGAATGGTCAGTCGGAATCCCTTCTCCAATTCTTCCACCTTTCAGGATTTGAGGCACACACATGCATGTGCCTGCTGTGTTTCTCAAACCACTGGGTACAGGACTTCCACTGCACTCATGTGGGAGTCTGGAGAGTCAATGGTCATTGAGGATGATTAGCATACCCAACATTGCAAATGCTGAGTAACCACCAGTCAATGGAGTCAGCCCCAGATACTTCATTTTCTGCACATGAAGACAATAAAACTTACTGGAACAACAAAGGGTGAAAGCCTAGCAAATTGTGGTAAATATTTAAAAGAGAACGTTATTTGGAGGCCAAAATATCTGAGAACTGTAGGGTCAATGTAAGGTTCAAATGAATACATGTACACAAGAGCTGTCTGAAGAACAAAGTATTAACATATATGTGAGATGGTATCCTTTTAGGTTATTTAGAAGCAGGACAGACCACAGATTCCTTAAAACTGTAGCCCTGGAATCAGCAGTTGGAGTAATGGCTATGTTGCTGGACTCCCATGTAGTTGACCGTGGTTCAAGTTCCAGATCTGGTGGCTTAAATTCACGCCGGGCACGTGTGCACGTGTGCCCAAGATTCCCAGAGGAGAATGAAGGAGAAAGGATTGCGGTGTGGCCATCCCCCCCACCCGGGGTGTGATTTCTCGCTTTCTGTCTCGTGCATGTGCCCTAGCAAAAAAACTCTCCAAAAAAATAAATTAATAAATTAAAACTGCAGTCCTTACCCCTTTTGGCCAGAACCACCATCTTCCAGTAATTAACCAAAATGACAAACACAAAGGGAAAGGGGCCGGCAGGTGGCATGGTGGTTGAAGGTGTTGGACTCCCACATGGCCGACCATGGTTCAAGTCCCAGACCTGGCAGCTCTCACACACACACACACACACACAACAAACAAACAAACAAACAAAAAAACACAAAGGGAAAGAAGAGAGGGACCCCATATATGTTCTCTAGGCCTTTTAGAAAACATGGAGTGGTTCATTTGGCAACATATTTGCCAATCTACAAGGTGATATTGTAGACATCAAGGGAATGGATACCATTCAGAAAGGCAAGTCTCACAAGTGTGACCATGGCAAAACTGGAAGAGTCTACAATGTTACCCAGCATGCTATTGGTATTGTTATAAACAAACACGTTAAGGGCAAGATTCTTGCCAAGAGAATTAGTGTGCGTATTGAGCATATCAAGCATTCTAAGGGCATAGAGCTTCCTAAAACGTGTGAAGAAAAATGACCAGAAAAAGAAAGAAGCCAAAGAGAAAGGTACCTGGGTTCATCTAAAGCACCAGTCTGCTCCACCCAGACAAGCACTTTGTGAGAACCAATGGAAAGGAGCCTCAACTACTGGAACCTATTCCCTATGAATTCATGGCATGATGGGTGTTAAAAATGAACTAATCTGTGGTCTATAAAAACAAAAACAAAACTGTAGCCCTTACATACAGAAATCTAAAATATAATTTAGAAGTCATCACAAATACATTTCCAAATCTAGGAAGGGAAAGATAGGAGGTGGAAAAATAAAAAATAACTCATTGGTATTTCGTGATACTTGGGACTAATACCTGGGATCACACCCCTATGCTCCAAGTCCCAAGATAGCATCAGATTCTCTTTTGACATCCAGGCTTTCCACGAATGCTCACCGATCTCCCAGTCTGAAAAGACCGGCCTCCCCTTTATGTATCCAGTCACCGAGGGCCGATGAGGGCAAGCCCTGCATGACATGCGTCACTGGCCCTAAGGAGGCCTGCCTTCCTGCCTGCGCCATCTTGGTGTGCTCAACAGAGATAGCGAAGCTGAGGCCACTCCCATGGCCAGAAAGCATTTACAAACCAGCTGTGCTGTCAGATAGGGATAGTCAAAATCCAAAGACACCTCTCTCTGGATTAGGAAATCCTCTCGGAGGACTGGGCTCTGCCTTGGTTCCTTATGTATTATGTTAATCTCAGGGTTGTGGTGACTCTCTACAATTACTGGATAATAACGAAGTGCTGAGAGAAAGGTTTTGAGTTCCAGCCCAGGTGGATGGAATTCTGTGTCCCAGTTCAGGAATGTTTGGCGGCTTATCCCCCTGGCAACTCAAGAAGCCACTTCTGTATTAAACTGGCAGTCACCGAATGCTGTAGTGAGCTGTGAGGAACACTTCTGTATCGCACATTCTTAGGAAACACACCCTCTCTAAAAATCAGTTATTGTGGAGTAAACAAGAACACAGCCCAGAGCATTAAAGAGCAGGGAACACCAACATACTGTGTTCAGATAAAACATCGTCTGAAACTCAGTAATCCTGACTCTAGCTCTTCACCCACTGGAAGCTGATTCAGAGGCCACTTCAAACGTGTAAGCGTTTTCACTGTGGGTTCAATGGTGAATCTGCTTCTGGACAAGGAGGTGGAAAAGGTCTTTACTGTATAGGAAAACATTTTTTTAGGAAGCCTGAGTCAGCATATTTACATCACATGTTTATTTAGCTTGGTGTTGAATCTGACTAAAATCTTAAGTCTCTGGTTTCTGTGTAGTCTCCATTAATATCCGCAGGCTGAGATCACAAACTGGTAAGAGGTCATTCATCATATCTGTACAAACATTAGCACAGAAGTGCAGATTTCTAACAACTATTTCAGAAGTATCTTTTATCAAGTTTTCATCATAGGATTTCTACAGAGAAATCTCACAACCAAGATGCCAAGTCATATAAAACGATTTAATGCTTTGGAAGAAATATTTTGAATACTGTTTTCTTTCATCCTTAAGATTACTGATGTTTGATACTGATATTCCAAGAGTATTAAATCAAAACCAGAAAGGAATCTGCACAACACACAAACACTTCACTGTACATCTGGTTGTGCTGGGACCAGCAGGTGGCATAGCAGTGAAGAAGCTGGACTCCCAAGTAGGGGACCACGGTTCGAGTGCCGGACTTGGTAGCTTTAAACTCATGCCAGGAGTATGTGCATCTGTGCCCAAAATCCCAAGAGAAGAATAGAGGAGAAGGGATTGCAGTGTGGCCATCCCACCTACGGGTGATTTCTCACTTTCTGTCTCTCTGATGAGTCCATGTGCCCCATAGCAAAAATCTCTCTCTATAAAAAAATTTCATTGTGTTTTATTACAAATTTAAACTTAGACATATTGTTTCCATTTTTTTTTTTTTTTGGTTTAGATACATGATTTCTTTTCCTGCCCTTACTATCAAAGTCAAAATTCCTAGTTCATTGAAGAAGTGCCGACATACTTTTCTATACCCATAGCATATAGTCATCGCATTCCATATGTGTGTTATCATATTCTATGAAACATAGAAATCTACTGTAATTTTGGATATCATAGGCCTTGTTTTCTTACTGCTCAAGGATTATTTTTAACAACTGTATTCAACTTAATAATGTATTCCACAACTAAAAAAGATGACCAAACTTCGGAAGCCAACATTACACAGTAGGTTAGGGTAGAGCACTCTTACTATTCTAGATCTCACAGCCTCAAATATAAGTCGGCAAATTCTTCTCCCTCTCCCAGCCAACATGAAGCAGAGTTACACCAGTTTAGAGTAGGCAATAACTATGTTCAGAAACCGGTTGTAATATTTATTACAAACAAAACCACATCATCAGCATGAATAAAACTTGGGTGACTTTGGAAATAAACAGTCGCTCTAGTGTTAAGTGTACCAGATACTGGACTTCTGAAACAAGTGATGCTTCTGCATAATAGCATTTCCTAAATATTTCTGTCCATGATGTTTGTTCCTTTGGTTTTCCTGGAATCCAAGAATCTGAAAAAAAACCAAAAAGATTCCTTTAAGAATCTGATGGACTTCGGGTCCCACATTACAAAGTTGGTAAGCATCGATGGATGAGGGTGAGATCCACGGGCTTAAAAGCAGGACACTGTGGCAATGTCCCGAGTTTACTCACATAGTTTCCAAGGCTCACATTTCATGCTGGGTAATTACCCGGAAGACTCATTTGCTGACATGTACTGATCTGATTTTAAGTTTGAGCACTCCCAAAGCAAAACCAGATCAACCCCAGTAAGAACTTAAAACACTCAAGGCTTTTAACAAAGTAATTTGTTGCAGTACTTAGTGTCACACAGAAACCACTCCATCTGCTAAACAATATCTCGACTGCAAGGCTTCTCTTACTGTTGGTGGATAGATAATGACACGGCACAGCCATTATCGCCGTGGCAACAGTACCCAGGAACTATCAGAGGAACATTGCACATGGAACCGCTGGCTCTCGAGCAGGCATGCCTCAGCTTCCTCTGGGGTATGCTGTCTCTGCAAGTCTGGTGTGCTCTAGGGTACCACCAACCCAGCGCGACCCCAAGACTACAGAACACACAGCCATTCTGCAGACTGATTGCACCACGGTCCACACTGAGGATACGGCGGGAAGGCGGAGGAAGTCCGAAACGGGCTGGTAAAGGCACGCGAGCGGTGGCGCTCCGAGGCCCGCGGGCTCTCCCCGCCCCTGCGGGTCATTTCCGGCACCGCCTGCAGCACCAGGTCTCCCCGGGGTTCCGCGCCGGCGCCGCCCGGCATCCAGCCGCTGCTCCGACAGCTTTGGTTGAAAAGAACCAATTCCTCTAATTCCCATCCAGCGAACCTCCCCTAAGCCGAGCCGAGGGCTTACGTGGGCTGGAGGGCCGGCGAGATCCCAACGAAACCCAGAGGCCGCGAAACAGCCGAGAGCCTCACAGACTTGTAAATAAAAAGTTGTTCTCTAGAAACATCCAGGCGCCAGAGGCCGGAACCACCGGGCAGGCCAGGGA